TTATAGAAATAGGCAAAACAAAATGGAGATAAGCAATCTACCTGTAAAAGAGTTCAAAATAATGATAAATATGCTCATCAGACTTGAGAGAAGAGTGTAGCACTTCAGCAAAGAGAAAATATTAAACAAGAACTTGTCAGCTGAAGAATGTAACAAATGAAAAATCCACTAGGAGGAACTAACAACAGATTAGAGGATGCAAAACAATGGATAGAGATCTGGAAGGGTACAACAAAGAATCCAAGCCAAACGGCAAAAAAGGAATTTAAAAAGTGGGGATAGGTTAGGAAACTACTGGGACAACAAACGTACTAACATGCACATGATAGGGGTCCCAGAAGAACACAGAAGGGAAGAAAACTTGTTTGAAGAAATAATACCTGAAAACTTCCCTAATCTGGGTAAGGAAGCAGACACCCAGGAAAAAGTGTGCAATGAGAGCCACACCACAATGTATTATAATTAAAATAGAAAAAGGTAAAGATCGAAAAATCTTGCAGGCCACAAAACAGAGCCATATACAAGGGAAACCCACATAAGACTGTCAGTTGATTTTCCAGCAGAAATTTGGCTGGCAAGAAAGGAGTGGCAAGGTAATACTTAAAATGCTGAAAGGGGAGGGGCGCGCCTGGGTGGCTCAGTCGCTTCAGCAGCCAACTTCAGCTCAGGTCATGATCTCACAGTTCACGGGTTCAAGCCCCTTGTCAAGACTCTGCTGACAGCTCAGAGCCTGGAGCTTGCTTCAGATTCTGTGTGTCTGTCTCTCTCGGCCCTTCCCCTGCTCATGCTCTCTCAAAAATGAACAAACACTAAAAACATTTAAAATAAAATCCTGAGAGGGGAAAACTCATAACCAGAATACTTTACCCTGCAAGGGTAACATTCAGAATCAAAGGAAAGATAAGAGTTTCCCAGACAAGTAAAAGCAAAAGACGTTCATCACCACTAAACCAGCCTTACAAGAAATGTTAAAGGGTCTTTGTTAAGCAGATAAGTCCATAACTGGAAATAAAAAATATGTGAAAGGAAAAAAATGTCACTGGTAAAGGCAATTAAGCAAGCACTTAAAAAAATTAGTATGAAGACTGAAGACAAAACTAGTGAGATTAATTAGAACTACAATAAATAGTATTGTAAGGGATACACAAAAATGTCAGTTGAGGTCAAAAACATAAGATGTTGGGGGGTAGGGAATAAAAATTAGTGCTTTTGGGGTGCCTGGGTGGCTCGGTTAAGTGTCTGACTTTGGCTCAGGTCACGATCTCACAGTTGGTAAGTTTGAGCCCCACATCGGGCTCTGTGCTAACAGCTCAGAGCCTGGAGCCTGCTTCAGATTCTGTCTCCCCCTCTGCCCCTCCCCCACCCACACCCACACTCTCTCTCTCTCTCTCAAAAATAAAAACATTAAAAAAAATTAGTGCTTTTAGGATTTGTTTCAACTTAAGCAATTATCAGCTTAAAATAGACTAGTATGTATATAGGTCAATATATATGAACCTCCTGGTAACCAGAAACCAAAAACCTACAAAAGATACACAAAAAATAAAGGAACTCAAACATAACAGAAAACCATCAAACCAAAAGGGAAGAGACCAAGAGAAGAAAGGAACAGAGAACTACTACAACAACAGAAAACAATGAACAAAATGGCAATAAGTACTCATCAATAATCACTTTAAATGCAAATGAACTTAAAACCTAAAACAGGTGAGTTAGAATGTTAATTTCTTTGGCTACCAGAAGTTGCATCCCAGAATCGCTAAATTCTGTTAGGAAGTAGTTTTAAAGATGAGAAACACAGAGATGCTCAATCCACCAAGCACATGCATG